GCCCGGCACCCAGAGGATGCTGCAGCCCTCGCCCGGCACCCAGAGGTGCCCCGATTACACATTTCAAATGCATCAGCAGCCACGGGAGACAGAAAGGATGTGACTGTGGAAGAAAGCCTTCTGGGTAAAGGCACAAAGTCTGGAACTCCTGCTTCCGATCATCCCAGAACACAGGCAGGGAGTGTGGCAGGGTCCCCCAGCCATGGCCCTGGCTGCCCACCATCGCCTTCTGAGAACCCACAGGGAAAGGGCAGAGAGGGCATTGACTCTCCCCGTGGGGCAGAGCCTGACCATCTGCTTCCTGTTGTGCCTCCTGCAGAGGCGGACACGGGGTGGTTGGGTGGCACCCACCAGCGGGACCCTTCCCATGTACAGGCACCCCTGCCCCCTACTGCTGTTGACACACAGGCAACACTCTGGGCCAGTGTTTCCGAGCCCAGGACCCAGGCAGGTGAAGCCCAGAAACATCCCCCAACCCAGGCAGGTGAAACCCAGAAGTGTTCCCCGACCCAGCAGGGTGAATCTCAGAAGCGTCCCCCGACCCAGGCAGACCTGGGGAGGCAACAGAGTTGCCAGGTGCAGGAGGAGGCCCCTGAGCCCAGTGATGCAGGGAAGAGCGGGGCGCCTTTGGGCCTGAAGGTTGTGCTGACCGCAGCAAAAGAGCCTCAGACACAGTGGGCGCAGGATCTGGGTGGGGACAAAGGGATGGCCATTGGGGTTGGGGGTGCCTGCCAGCACAGTGACCAAGGTCAGCAGCGTCCACGGGGACTCTGGGAGGAGCAGGGGAGGAGAGCAGTGCAGGGAGAGGGCACCAGGACTGCCAAGAACCCAGCCGCACCTCCAGGGGACCCCAAGGGGCCGGGAAGCCTGGCGGCCCAGGGGCAGGCCCAGAAACAGGCTCAGGAAAAGGCCCAGGGACAGCCCCAGAGGCAGATCCAGAGAGAGGCCCCGGGACAGCCCCAGGGGCAGATCAAGAGAGAGGCCCCGGGACAGCCCCAGGGGCAGATCCAGAGAGAGGCCCAGGGACAGCCCCAGGGGCAGATCCAGAGAGAGGCCCAGGGACAGCCCCAGGGGCAGATCCAGAGAGAGGCCCAGGGACAGCCCCAGGGGCAGATCCAGAGAGAGGCCCAGGGACAGCCCCAGGGGCAGATCCAGAGAGAGGCCCAGGGACAGGCCTTGGCCTGTGGGATGGTGCCTTGGGCCTGGGAGCAGCCCGTTAGTGGCACAGCTGAGCTAGTGGCCACTGCTGGAAGGAGTGGAGGGTCTGGAAGCCCAGCCCCCAGGGACAATGGACAGTGGAGGGGCAGTGGACTGGGGGAGCCTGGTGCCCAGCACCCACCCCCAAGAAGCCACCCCCTCGGGGGCAAGAGCATTGCCACCTCTCCCCTGGGCCTGAGAAAGAGCCCAGCTGAGCACACGCCTGAGGCTGGGAGCTGGGGAACTCCCCAGGCCCCGACCCAGGAGGGGCCCCCAGGCCACCCCAGGGCGAAGAGGGACCTGCAGGATGCAATGGAGGCATCAGAGCCTGAATGTCTCAAGAGGTCCACGCGTCTGGCCAAGTACAAAGCCCAAAGCTTCAGTGACCAGAGGGCCTTCGATTTGTCCTTCAGACCAATGAGCCTCAGGGCCAGTGACACCTTTGAGCTCCCAAAGTGAGGCCCGAGTCCAAGCCGTGGTGCCCAGTACTTCGGCATCCGCCCATTGGGGCCTTCAGGTGTTGTCTTGCCTCCAAATTCGTTCTGGAGCGTCCCCTACAGAGACACCTGTTTCCATCATTTTCTTTCCCTTTTTCGCAAGCTGACCTTGGGAGGACTGAGCTACAAGTGGGTGGGGTCCGTGTCGCCCCACAGATTCCCAAGGCTGCTGGGGTGAGAGGTCTGGGTCTTCAGCCTCACAGGCCCTGAGGGTTCTTTGCTTCTTCACCTGAGGGCGCCAACTCACCCCTCTCAGCCTGCGACGAGGAGCTCACACCTCCCTCAGTGGCACAGTGTATGTGTCCCCCTCAACCTGCAGGACGCTGGCACTTTGGGATGCCTCCCACCCGTCCCTGCCCAAGCCCCGCCATGCCCTGGAACAGCGCAGAAGTGTTCCCTGCCCCGGCCTGAGACAGCCCACGACTCCTGCCTTGTTCAGGTGCTGAGATGGTGCATTTTCAGGCTGGAATATTTGAATGCTGTCTAGAGGCAAGGAAATCTATTAAAGCCACCCATCGTCACGTTGCTTCAGATGATTTTTGTTGCTACTCTGGACTATTTGGCTTTTCCTCAGGGCATCTATTTTTTTCTGTTTCTTTTTTTTCTTTTTGAGATGGAGTCTTGCTGTATCGCCAGGCTGGAATGCAATGGCATGATCTCGACTCACTGCAGTCTCTGCCTCCTGGGTTCAAGCGATTCTTCTGCCTCAGCCTTCTGAGTAGTTGAGATTATAGGCACATGCCACCACACCCAGCTAATTTATTTTTTAATTTTTTTTATTTTTGGTAGAGATGGGGTTTAACCATGTTGGCCAGGATGGTCTCGATCTCTTGACCTCGTAATCCACCTGCCTCGGCCTCCCAAAGTGCTGGGATTACAGGCATGAGCCACCACACCTAGCCTCCTCAGTGCATCTATGTTAAAGCACATTTTTTCTCGATGATGGGGCCATACACCTCCTTGTCACCAGCTGCTCGGTGGCCTCTAAAACCCTGACTGTGAGGCTGCCCGGCTGCCCGAGGGCCCCAGAGCAGCTAGATCTTCAGAGTGACCGGACAGCCCATCGCCCTTTGGCCCCACACCTTGGCTTTTGGTGGTGCTCTCCCTGTGAAAAGTTAATTCCTGCCTTTTGAAGGTGTCTTGGTGTTTTTTACCTTCGCTACTGAGCAGTTTTCTGCAACAGCCATAAGCGTTCAAAAAGGCGCTTTGGTGCCTGCTGCTAGCATCTCTGTTTTCTGACTTGGTGTTTTCCAACCTGGCCTTTGAGTGGGCGTTTAGCAAGTGTGTCCTATCCACGGGGAGGCTGGGGCTGCTGGGGTCTCTCTTCCCAGGGCAGGTCTGCCGGGCAGACTAAAGGGTCTCATTGCATCTGTGGCTTTAGCTCTGGGGGGGGCCCAAGCAGGCACTGTGACGTCATGCTCCAGGCAGTGCACGCGTTTCCGACCAGTCAAACAACTAATTTAAGATGCAGCAGGTCAGACCCACCCTCCCCTGCAAGGACATGGGGGTCCTTGTGTCTGGAAGGAGGGCTAGGCTGTGCTGAGCTCTGGGGGGCTGGTTCCCACAGCTCTCCTCAGAGAGCACCCAGGCCTCCTCTATAAATTGGAGGGCCATGCTCCTATCCCACTTGGAGGGGCTTCTGCTTGGCGTGTGGGTTTTCAGTGCGAGTTCCTGTATGTGGAGACTCATAAGTCCTGGGTGCACCTCCCATGTGTGGGAACCGGGCAGCCAGCCACACGCAGGATGGACGGGGGGTGCGGAGGGGGGCAGAGCTGAGTGTGGCGTGCACTTGGCCACAGAGATCTTGCTGTGGTGCTGTTGGGCCCCTGCTAGGAGGGCAGGGTCCCCTCTCTCACTGAGCAGGCAGGCCTCAGGAGTCCAGTGGTCCCTGCCTCTGCTGTCCCGGGAGCTGCAGCTGGGGCTGGGGTTGGCCTCTCGGAGACAGCCAACTGCAGAGGCTGACGGAGCGGCCTCTTTGTCCTGTTGGCAGCCCCCGCTCAGGACGGGGTGGGGGGTCATCCTCCCTGGGGCTGGGGGAGCTCAGGGACCCCCACGTCTGTGTGGCTGCCCTCCCACTCCAGGCACAGCGGCACAGCTCTCACTCTTTACCTATTTGGGGTTTGGGGCAACAAGTGGCAAGAACGTGATGACAGACACGGGAGGTAAAACTGTGTTCACTGGCTGTTCCCTTTAAAAATAAGAGGTGGGACTTGCGTTGCTATTTTTAAATAGACCAGAGAGTGCTCTGGAGAAGCCACTGAGTGGTTTTATTTTAAGTGATGGAAAAAATGGCAAGAATCTCCTCCAGATGACAGCTCTGGAAGCGTCGCGCCTGAACCCCTCTGGCCGCCTGGCGGGCGCAGAGTCTGTGAGCAGCCAGGAGGCCACCTGCTCGGCTGGCCCATCCTTTTCATGTGCCAAATGCAGCCCAGCGTGACGCTGCCCTCAGCTCAAAACACCAGAGCTGGTCTGTATGCAGGAAAAAACTGCAAGTGACTTCACGGGGATTTGGAGCGGTCCGTACATTCACGCGAAGCTGAGACAGTGACGTCTGAAGATAGCTCGCTGAAGTATTTGCACTGCAGATGCAACCGGCATTTCCTTGAAGATAAGGCCCACCCCCTCCCGGGTCAAAATAACTGTATCAGAAGAGTGGTGTGCTAACCACGCCCACGGGCATTTTACGTAAAACCCAGAGTTTTTTTTTTTAAAAAGGAAAGGCAACAGGATAATCATTTTAGCTTCTTAGCGTCATTAATTCTGTGTATTTGAGCAGCTTGTCTGCTGCCTCCTCCTGGCAGTTTTTTATGGTCTCTGGCTGCTGACAGGCCCGCTGTGAGCCGCACATCTGTGGGTGCAGGTGACAGCAGCCAGGCGGGTGGCAGCACCCTCCGGCCTCGGGAAGGTCCCGAGACAGCTGTGAGTGTGTGGCCATGTTCGGGGTGCTCAGTCGGGGAGGGTCATTGTCGAGGATTTTACAGTCTCAACATACTTCCTTATTTCGTTATTGGGGTATCTCTGCTGTTTGAGTTTTGATCTTTCAGTTATGTATTAAGCTGCAGCTATTTATTAAATTTTTCTTGTCCGTATTGTTTGTATATAAACAACTAAAATGGGTTAGTCAGAAAAAAATTACTAAGTATCATCTGTTGTATTATCTCTGTATTTTTACTAACATTTTACTGGAAATAATTTCAAAAAAAGGAAATAAAATACTGCTCCCGTTACAAATCTCTTCCTGGCGTTGTTGAAGCTACTGCATGAAGGAGGTAGGACTCAGTTCTGGGGCTAGGGGCAGACTCCCCACCGGGTGAAGGTGGCCAGCCTGGGGCGGTGGTCCTGGCAGGAGGGAGGGTCTGGCCAGGGGCCCAAGTGGGAGGAGAGCCCTTACGGTGTCCTTGGAGAAACAAGGCCATGTGCTACCCAAAGCTTCCCTCAGTGCAGTCAAGACTGTGCCTGCCTCGGAGCAAGACCTGGGAGCTGGACTTCAGCCACTGCACCTGGGCCTCGGGTGGCCCCTGACTCGGCAGCAGACTGAACAGAAAGGAGGAGGGAGTATGGTTGTAACAGGGCCAGCCGGCCAGTGAAACACCCTCTTCCCGCCAGCAACTCCGCAACTCTACATGCAGGAGAACTTTGTGAGTGACTTTTCATGACGATTTAACAGCAATTGGTTTAAGCTCATGCCAGACCCAGCCAGGAATGCCTGCATCCGAGCTGCCGCTGTGCCGTGGGTGGGTGTGGGGTCTTGGCATCTGGGGAGGAGGAAAGCTTGTTCCCCTGAATCAAGCTGACACCTTGAGTCTGACAGCACTGGAAGGCACCCAAGGCTTTGGGATGGTGCAGGCACCTCTTGTCCTGAAGGAAAACCCCTGTCAATTAGGGCATGACAAAGGCTTTCCTTAGAACTTTTATTTTAAAAGTGCTTATTGAAGGCGTCTGTAAGAGTGGTGTACACAGAAGTCTGATCAAGCCTCATTCTTGAGATATTGTTATAAGCTTGGGGTAGACAAAGGTTCCCCTAAACAGGAGAAAAAGCCCCAGCCACAGAAGGAAGTGTGCATACATTTGCACACATTTGTCTGTTTGAGGTTCGGCGCCTTTGCGGAGTCTCCATGGCCGCCATGGATTTTTGACGGGAATGGATCTCATGTAGCCCCAGTGCCCAGGACTGAGCCACTGAGCGGTGCTTGCCATTTCTCTGACTGCAGAGGACTGACCTGCTGGTGTCCACAACCCCACATGGTGCCGGGGAAGCCGCGGAAGGCACAGCAGCTGGTTAGAAAATCCATTTGTGCAAACCCCAAACCCGTGAACGTGCTGAGGCATCTTCTCCTGGAAGAACAAAGAAGGCCAAGGCAGAGTGAAGGAAATCATGTATACGGTGGCCCATTTCCAAGGCAAGGTGTCTTCGATCGGCTTAGGTCAGAAAACTACAGAACAAACAGGGTGACTAGGCCCCTGCCTGGATCACACATGCCTGCTTGTTGGCCCCCCTTCCCGCCCACCCTTAGGTGCCCTCACCCCAACTAAAGAAGTTTGGTCTAAGATGAAAGTTTACTAGCCTGCAAAACAGCTGGCTTTCTCTATTCTTATCAGCCTGCCCAGCTACTCAGGTCATAAGTCAAATGCTTGAAGAGCTCCCGAGCTGGCTGGGATTGCAATACATTGTAGGCTTTGACAAAATGCAGCAGGACAACCCCAAAGAAAACACCAGAAGCCCCTACCCAACGACCAACAGTAGACATTTAGGGAGAGGGTGACCCCACAGTAGTCAGCATGTGAGGAGGCGGGGAGGGGCCTGTGCACCAGAGGATAAATTACTTGTTGAAACCATGCTGGGTGTGCCTGCTCATCAGACACCCCACCTCGCAAGACCATCATTAAAAGTCTCACTTGCACTGTTCTCAGGGTCTCTGAGTCCACTCTTTGGCTTTGGACAGATGAGTTTGTTTCTCACAGGAGGATCACTTGAGACCAGGAGTTTGAGACCAGCCTGAGCAACACAGTGAGACCCCATCTCTATTTACAAATGGAAATAAAATTAAAAATAACAGAACAAAAGACCACAGGTCATGTTGTACTCAAGTGTGGAGAAAGAGCTGTTGAATTCCCTGGATGGCCGTTTCTTGCGGTCTGTACCACTAAAAGTCATGTCTTAATCCCAAACTGGAAGAAGGCATCAACCCACCAGCGAATCTGCACCTAGGGAAGAATTTGGAAAATTTTGCAGAAATAACACCCAAAAATTACAGCTTTCCATTGCTCAATCAATAATGATGATGATAAAATAATCAAGGCCGGGCGCGCTGGTTCACGCCTGTAATCCTAGCACTTTGGGAGACCGAGGTGGGCGGATCACCTGAGGTCA